TTGGCGAGAGTAAGAGGGAGAAAGTGGAGTTTTAAAAATAATAATAAATATTTCTTGGGCACTTACAATGTGTCAGGCACTCAGTTAAATGCTTTTTGTATTCTCAGTTCATCCTCATAACAAACCTGTGAGGTAAAAAGTGTTATCTCAATTTTTCAGAGAAGAAAACAGACTCCAACCCAGACAGAGCTGGAGAAAAATGTAGAACAAAATTCTAACTCACAAAAAAAGACCAGACTTACTGGCCTGACAGAGACTGGAGAAACCCCGAGAGTATGGACACCCTTTTAGCTCAGTAATGAAGTCACTCCTGAGGTTCACCCTTCAGCCAAAGATTAGACTACCCCATAAAACAAAGTAAGACTAATGGGGCACAACAGTCCAGGGACAAGGACTAGAAGGCAGGAGGGGACAGGACAGCTGATAATAGGGAACCCAAGGTCAAGAAGGGACAGTGTTGACATGTTGTGGGATTGTTAACCATTGTCATAAAACAAATATGTGTACTAACTGTTTAATGAGAAACTATTTGTTCTGTAAACTTTCATCTAAAGTACAATAAAAAATAAAAAAAAAGGTGGAGTGACTTGCCTAAGGTCACAGCAACCAAGTGCAGAGGCAGGTTTTGAGCTCAGGTCTGTGGCCTTCAAAGCTTGGATTTGCACCCTGGTGCCCTCAGAGCAGTGCAATGGGCCTGCCGGGGCATCTCAGCATCCTCCTCCTCCACCTCCCACCTCTAGATGGTTTGCTGGAGCTGTTGGCGCAAAGAAACCAAGCAGAATGTCTGGCAGGAATGGCCTCCCCTGCACCAGTAATAGTGGGAACTCTGCTCCTTTCAGCTTGCAGAGCAGATTCTTGTCCATTAGCTCTGGGCCTAGCCTCACATTGGATTACTTTTCACAACAATCCTGTGAAGAGGGTACTAACTGCCCATTTCACAGATAGGGAACTGAGATACCCCAGGTCACATAGGACATACTCTGGGTGTGGTGAAGACTGCTGCCAAGGCTCTGGCCTGTCTCTGACCTCACTTCCCCTGCACCCCTCTGGCTCATCCCTCTGCCAGTCATCCTCCCAGCCTTCTTCCACCCACTCATGCCCACACCCTCATAGCCTCCTCCCTGCCTCACAGCCGTGATAACTGTAGGCTGCGGTGAATAATGTGGACTAAGAGGGACCCCTTGGATTGGGACCCTGTTTCCAACTTTTTTGGTTTTGGTTTTTGGTGGGGAATTAAAGAGAGGGTCTCCCCAAATTCCCTGCCCAGGGTCCAGCTTCCCTGAGTTTAATTTTTATCTCAGGGGATTCAGCAAGAAACAGGGGTACACTCAATGCATTTCTCAGAGGAGGGTTTAATGAAGGGTGTGGGCAGGAATGGAGAAGCACCCTAGGGCTTGAAACAGCAGGACAGCAGCCACCTCTGGGCCTGAAGGGCCAAGAGGTGGGAGTCACGATAACAAAGCTAGAGAGAGCTGTACCTTTGTGGGTGGGGACACCAAACAGGAGCTCTGATTTTGATGGAGAAACAGTAACTGCCAAAATCCTGTGAGGCAGGGCTAATAACTCTCCTGATTTCACGCTCCTCCCTCCTTCTGATCTCCTGCCAGGTCTCCTATTGGTCAAACCCTACCTGAGGCCAGAGGCAAGGGGGCCAAGTGAGACTGTCAGCAGGAGCCAGCCCCAGGACACAGGGGAGGCAGGCAGAGAAGCATGGAAAATGGAGGTTAGGCAAAGAGTAGCCAAGGGCTTCTCTCCTCTTCCTGGATTTTCCAAGGGACTGAGAGACAGTGGCCATGACTGTCTTCCAAAGCAGAGAGTCTATGCCTGACTCCAGAACCCCCTTTCTCATCCTTCCAGACCCAGGTTACTTTGTCCACAAAGTTGGCCCCAGTTCTGGAGTTAATTTCTCCCACCCCTGGCTCCCCTGGTTCTCAGTGCCTACCACATCACTTAGCCCATGATTTGGCATTATTCTCTGGGTAAGTTTGTCTTCCCAGGAGGCAGTTCTAGCCTACTGTGTACCCTGAGCGCCTTACAGGAGGAGGTCAGGGCTAAATAAGGCCATTTGCCCCACAGAGGGTCTGGCACACACCAAGTGCCAGTGTTGGCCAAAAGAACTGAGTCCTGTGGCCTCACTTACCTCACTCTTCCTTGGTATATGCTCTCTGGGCACACGTTTACGTCTGTGCCCCTGGGTAGACTAAGGGCTGCTGGGTGGTGAGCAGCACAGGCCTGGCACATAGCAGGAATCAAATGTTGCCTGAATTGGCCTAGTAAAACCACACTTCTTTCCTCCATTTATTTCACACTGTATTTAAAGGTTCTACTATGTTCCAGGCCCTGTGCTGGGCCCTGGGGACACAACAGTGAAAAAGACACACGAAGTCCCTGCATTTATGGAGCTCCCATTCTAGCGGGGAAAGCAGAGAAGGAAGGGATTTAAAAGAAACAATATTACCGCCGACTGTGATAGATGCTGACGAAAATAAACAGGGAGGTGGATAAGCAGTAAATAGTTGGACATTTACTACATGGGGGCAAGGGCGAGGGCATCAGGGAAGCCTCTCTGAGGAGAAGACATTTGAGCTGAGACCTGAAGCGGAATAAGGCAAGTAGAAGCCAGGATATGAAGACCTGGAAAGGGTGTTCTAGGCAGAGGAAACAGCAAAAACAAAGGCCTGAGGTGGAGGAGTTTCTGGGATCCTGGGGGATACAGTGAAGTCCCTACGTGGTGCAACTGGTTAATGTTCTCAGCTGCTAACCGAAAGGTTGGAGGTATGAATCCACTCAGAGGTGCTTTGAAAGAAAGGCCTGGTAATCCAATTCCAAAAAATCAGCCATAGTAAACCCTATGGAACAAAACAAAACTCAATGGCGCACTTCTATTCTGACCCACATGTGGTCACCATGAGTCAAGAGTTGATGGTAACTGGTTTTGGGGGATTCAGTGTTTCAGCCTAAAGAAAGGCTTAGGATGAGGCTAGGAGGGGTTAAGGAATTCAGTCTTGGGGGCTGCCCAGGCCCAGCCCCTGGGCTGGGGGCTGGAGGGGGAGGGATGGCCTTTCTAAATGCCACCCCTGCTGCCTGTTGCCTAGCACCTGGAGCAAACAGCGCTGCTGGCAGGCCCTTGCCTTGCCCCCCCACCCCCCGCCCGGCTCCCCTCTGACTGGCAGCAGCTGTCAAGTGAGCAGCAGCTGAGACTTTGCCAGCCTCCTCCCCTGGAATATTTCAGGGGTAAGTCAGAAAATGACCAGCAGCCTCCAAAACTTGACTTTTTCTTGTTTATACCTTACAAGGGTGTATTTGGTGGCCTCGGTGTTAATCCACCCCCTTGCATTAGAGGGAGATATATAAATATACAGCCACAGGCAGCACACTTAGACTTGAGCACATAGATTAATGAACACGTACACAGACCCCCAGTCACACACACACGACATGCCATACATCTGAGCACCTCTCCGCATAATCATACACACCAGCTCCCAGCTATTCACAGGCACCCAATCACACACATGGCCATATACATGCCCTGTAAACACAGTCACAACAGACACTCTACAAGGGGCACAGCCACCAACACACATGTTCTGCAATCATACAATCACACATATGACCATACGTGCCTGGTAAACAGTCACAACAGACACACACACAGACATTGTACAAGGGGCCTAGTCACCAACTCACACTCATCCTGTGATCATACAGTCACACACATAACCCTATACACGTCCCATAAACACAGTCACAAGAGTCACACATGTAGAATCCATAAGGGGCACTATGACCAGACACATAATCACTTACCTCACGATCATACAACCACACATACACATGCCCACACAGAGACACAAATGGGCACACAATCCCACACATTTCTCCCTCCACACACTACACAAAAGCCCACCCAGCACATACAACTCAGTCACACCACTACCCTCCCCACCCCCATGCTCCAGGACTCTGATTACATGAACAACTCCAGCCTCTCCAGCTTGTAGAGTGCACCACATTCTTCTTCGATTGAGTCAAAACATCCCCAGACAGAGGGGCTAAGTGGAAAAAAGGAATCAGAAGGGAGAATGCCTGAGGCCCAATCTGGGAAGGGGCCTAGCAACGTCTCTTCTGGCGAGGCAGACCACTTCAGTGTTCAAGTCTGATCCTGACACTGATGGGCTGAGGACTTGGGGGAGGGGCGGGCCTTGGAGTTGACAGAGCAGGGCAGGGTTGGGATGACAGGTGGACCAAGGAGAAACCTCACATGGTGGGGGTCGGAAAGTGACGTTAAATATGGACTGAACCTTATAGGCGTAAATCCATCCTAGGCAGTCCTCCCGCTGCCCTGTCCTAACCCTGGCCCCAGGCCCCAGGCCCCAGACTGTCCCTGGACGCAGAGGGTGTGGCCGTGTACCCTCCTCCCCAGCCCACGCCCTGCCCCACCCCTTCACGACAGCTGCGGGCACAGCGGTCCCGGAGCGCAGGGTGGACGCCTGGCGCGCTCTCCCCACTGCACGGGTGGAGATCGGAGGGCGCCGAGCTGCGGCTGACATTCCGGAACACTTGCGAGCGAGGGTGCTGGCTCCTTCTTAGTCTTCCAACCCTGCCCCTACGGCCGGCTGGACAGGGGAAGGGGCTCTGCTGGGGCTGCACAGTTCCCCTCCCCGCTCCCCCGCCCCATACCGGGAGTCTCGGCCGGGAAGGGCGGAGAGAAAGAAGGTTCGGGAAGATCTCAGGGCTGGCTCGTTTTGGAAAAGCCGCTAGATCGCTCCCACCCCCACCCTGGGTTGGTCCCAGCAAGGGGGGGCCTCTCCCCGCCCCCCGGGCTGCGCGGCCCGCTCCCTCCTCCCCCGGCTGGAGCCCGGGCCAAGTGGGTGCGCCCGGCCGGGACCGGGATCCGGTGTCGGTTGCAGCTGACAGTGCGGCGGGCGGGGGCCGGAGCAAGTGGCCCGCGGGCCGGCTATTAATAACGCGACCGCCGAGCCCCTGGTCGTGCAGCCATGGCCAGTCCGGAGCCCCGGCGCAGCGGGGATGGCGCCACCCAAGCCGCGAGGTAGGACCATCCAGGGCCCGCGTCGCTGCCCCTTTGGGGAGGGGGCGCTGGACGGATTCCCTTTCCCCGCGCGTGAGCACCTTGCGCCTGGCTGGGGGGTAGTGGTCCAGCCGGGCTGGAGCAACGGGTGGAGCCACCCCAGCGACAGGAGATGCGGGTGTCTAGGTCCGGTGTCCTGGCACCTCAGCCTGTGGCTTTATAAATACTCACCGCCCACCACCCCGTGTGAGAATTAACCCTTTCAGACCAGTGGGCATCAACTATTCAGACAAATGCTATTTGGCACCTAGTGGCCTAAGACAATCTCTTCCTCACCCCAAATGTCAACTGGGATGGAGGTCTCCAGCTGCTGAATTCTGCTGTGTGGAAGCCACTTGGTGCAAGGTTGGGCCTGGGCCAGCTTTAAGTTAAGAGTCTATTCAGGCAGCTTGCTCTCTCCTGTCTGGGCCTAGGATGGAGGGTCAGGGGAGGGTCTACTTTCCCAGGCCGGCAGGGGAGCTCTGGCTGGTCAGGGATTCTGGAGGAGAGGTCCTCCCCATCCACCCACACTCTCAGCTTGTGGCTGGTCCAGGGAAAGGGACCTGTGGCTGAGGAGCTTGGGGAGAGTGGGACGTATTTCTGCTCCAGGTCAGACTGTGGCCCTGGGACTTTCAGTGTAGAGGCAGAGGTGCAAATACAACTCTCCCATCCACACACATCCCTTCACTGTCACACACAAGCAGAAGGCTGAGCACACAGTTTTACACACAGAAGCTCTCTGGAACTGCCGTACATGCATACAGGTACACATAGAGTCACAGATATGTGCAGACTCTTGCCCACACAGTGTCACACACATTCCCAGCCGCAACCCTGATAGACCTGGGTGGGAGCTGTGGGAGCATACTGGGGACAGGAACAGAGTGGCAGAAGCACACTGCCTGGGGCCCAAGGGAGTCTGAGGTCAAGGGCCCAAGCTGAGCTCACTCCCTCTCCCCTAGACCTCCCATAATCTGCTCCTTTCCCAGCTCCTTAGAGGGAGAGGGCTGTGTGAGGGCAGTGGCTAGCTAGCAGAGGGCCTGGCAGTGTGAATGGTGACTGAGGCAACATGGTGTTTGGTAACAGCACTGCCTGGAAGTCAGGACACCTGGGTTCTACTTCCAGCTTGTCACTCGACCTTGGGCATGTTTCCTCCTTGGAGCTCAGTCAGTTTCTGCCTGCCTGCCTTCTACAGAGCCCCACTCTGGGATATTGAGCAGAATGAGAACCACACTTGTCCTTAGGAAATTCACTTAGAAGTCAGCCGCATGCCCATCTATAACAAAAAGCACTAAGTACAAAGATGAGCTGCATACAAAGTGCCATGAGAACGCAGAGTGGTGGTTTATAGGAAGTGCTTCACAGAGGAGATGGAGTTTGAGCAGGGCTTGAAGGATGAGTAGAAATTTGTCGTTGTTGTTAGGTGCTATCAAGTCAGTTCTAACTCATAGTGACCCTACATATAACAGAAAGAAACACTGCCTGGTCCTGCGCCACCCGCATGATCATTGTTTGTTTGAGCCCATTGTTGAAGCCACTGTGTCAATCCATCTTGTTGAAGGACTTCCTCTTTTTCACTGACTCTCTACTTTACCAAGCATGATGTCCTTCTCCCGGGAATGATCCCTCCATAATATGTCCAAAGTATGTGAGATGTAGTCTTGCCATCATTGCTTCTAAGGAGCATTCTGGCTGTACTTCTTCCAAGACAAATTTGTTCATTCTTCTGGCAGTCCGTGGTGTATTTGTTAGGTAGACAGATATAAAATATATTTTGAATGCTGTTATACATGCTGTAGTTATTTTACCCTTTTTAGATCTCATGCCTACCCAAGGAAGAGAGGCAACGTAGTGTGGCAAACAAGAGCTCCAGTTCTGGAGTGGGACCGCCAGCATTGTCCTGGCTCTGCCACTTACAAGTTGTGCAGCCTCGAGTGAGTTCTTTAATCTGTTTGTGCTTTGATCTCCTCATCTATGAAATAGATGGATAATAAATGAATATTATATAAATGGTGGAGTGTCTGGGTGGCGCAAACAGTTAAGTGCTCGGCTACTAACCAAAAGGTTGGCAGAGGTGCCTCAGAAGAAAGGCCTAGCAATCTACTTCTGAAAGGTCATAACCATTGAAAACCCCATGGATCACAGTTCTACTCTGAAACACAAGAGGTCGCCATGAGTTGGATGAATTTAATGACAACTGGTTTGGTTTATTATAGAAATGAGTATTCATGTAAAATGCTTAGAAATAGTGCTTTGAGCACAGTAGGTTATTCCAAAGTGGAGCGTTGTCTTCTGGGAAAGCGAGGACTCTGTTGAGTATCAGAGTGGGTCTGGCTGGCTGGGCAGGTGCATCCTTCCTGGCGCTGGGAGCTCTACCTACCCAGGTAGTGCAGGATTCTTCTCTTGTCAGATGGTGTATAAGGAGCTGCATTTCTCAGCTGGATCCTTCAGACATTGTGGACTAAGAGTGAGAGGTATGAAACGTTAATGCGTGTTCTGAATTGTCAAGCAGTGGGTGGGCTGCAGGGAGTAATGTGAGGTGAGGCTAAAAAGGTATGTTGGGGCCACATCTTTAAGGGCCTTGAATCTATGCTAAACAGTTTGGCTATCTATGGGTAAAGAGCAACGTGATTGCTCTATGTCGTAAGGTCCTGGAGGGCTCAAATGGTTTGCACTCAAATGCTAACCTAAAGGTTGGCGATTTGAGCCCCTCAGTGGCACCACAGAAGAGAACACCTGGCGATCTGCTTCTGTAAAAGAGTACAGCCAAGAAAACCTTATGGAGTAGTTGTATTCTGCAACACATGGAGAGTTGCCATGAGTAAGATGGCAACGGTTAGCAGGCTAACTGTGGAACTGTAGAGAATAGATTGGGGTGGGGAGAAGGAAGAAGACTGGAGACAGGGAGACCTGTTGGAAGGCTGGTGCAAAAGTCCAGGTGAGAGATGACGACTTGGACTAGGGCGCTGGCAGTGGAATGGAACAGAGGGGGATGGAAATTGGAGACTTCCTGAGATAGAAAGGTCAATTCTCAGTGAATTGGCTATATGAGAGAGGGAAAGAGCTGTCAAAAGATTTCTTGCCTGGTCACTCTGGAATATAGTGGTATGTCTCTCTGAGATGGAGAATACAGCTGTAGCCAGCTTGGGCAGAAGGATAATTTGGGATAATTTGGCAGTTGAGTTTGAGGTGCCAAGTGACATCAGGTAAAGATATCTAAAAATCAGTTCCTGTCTGGTTAAATGATGTGAATGGATGAGGTGATTGTTGAGATTGTCCTCGAACTTTAAGTTTTGGTGCAGTTGCTGGATTGAATGAGGCCAGTGATGTCTGAGGCCTGTTGAAGACTCACTTTTTGGTTTCTAGAGGGCCAAGACGTAGTACAGAAAGGGAAACCAGGGATTCCTGAGGTGTCAGAGAGGAGGACAGAGTACACAATAGTTTAGAATTAAAATAATATTTATTGGGACTTGGAGTTAAGATAAACCTTAAAACCTGGACACAAGTAAGCCTTTTTTTAAGACAAATAAATCAAATTCTTTGCTACATGGGGCTTTTCATTTATACTTTATATCTTAAAAAAAAAGAATTCTTAAAAGCCAACATTCAAAATTTAGTCTGTTTTATAACAGGCGCACACTATCTTAGTTTCCTTGAGCAAACTACTTAATCTCTCTTAACCTCAGTTTCCCTATCTGTAAAATGGGGCCAAAATGGGTGACTACCTCATAGAACTGTTATAAGCATTCAGTGAATTGATATATGCAAAGCATTTAGAATAGTGCCTGGCACATGAAAACCTGTTACCATCAAGTCGATTCTGACTCATAGCGACCTGGCACATAGTAAGTCCTTTGTAAGTGTAATTTATTATTATTATTTCCATGGTATTTTATATTTGCAAAGAATTTTTCAGAGATTTAAAGTAGGTATGATACATTTGAAACAAGAAAGACTGAAACCACCTGAGGGTCATGAAGCAGCAGAACATCCCCCAATAGGAGTTGAGTAGGCCGGCTGACAGCTGGGTCAAAAAGCTCATTAGTTGGAATGATAGAATCTGAATTCAAAGAGCCTTTGATAGGCTAGAAGGATGGGCCAGTTCTAACAAGATGGAGTTTTATAGGCTCAAGAGATGTGGCTTAAAAGCACTTGGTGTGAAAACGTTTTAAAGATTTTTGTCAAACTCAGCATTTGTCAAGCATGTGCTGGAGGAGCTGCCCTATATGCTAAGGGAATCTTGGCTTCATCAACAGGAGTGTAGTGTCCAGAGACTTACACTGCTCAGAGCACACCTAGAGTACTGCTTTCAATACCCATCCCCAAGGGGCAGTGATGATCTGGAGCCTGGTCAGAAAGTGACCCAAATGAGAAGGGCACTGGAAACCGTGGCATGTATGGAATAATTGAAAAACAAGGTAAGTTAGTTATTTTGAAGTGTTTGAAAAACATACATGGAAAAGGCATTACATTTGTCTGATTTTAGAAGGATGAATCAAGTCCAACAGGTCTCTCAACATTAGAATTTTCTTATGACAGAGGACCAAATAGTAGTGCCTCAGGTGTGAGTTTCCTGTTCTTGAAGGTATATGAGCAGGGATGAGCCACTGACACTGTGGTGATGTTGTCAGGGGATCTAAGCAGTGGACCCTGTTGGAGGGAATATAAGGGAGCAGACCAGTGACCTGTGAGATCTGAGAACCTGTTATAACCTAGGCCTGAGGCCTAATGAGTCCAATCATGGACCATCCTGGGATTGTGGTTGCCCTCTCACTTTACATCATTTCTCTTGCAGGGAAACAAAAGCAGATGCCAAGTTTCCTCTTCAGGAAGAGAACTCTAAATCCCTGAATGAGGCGGAGACCTTGAACCCGGAGGTTACTCTATCTTTGAAGGGGACCTTGAACCTAGAGGATATTCTCTACCTGGGAGACACAGGTGACCTCCATGAGACACTGTTTGTGGAACAGACTGAAAAGCCAGAGGAGACACTGTATATTGAGGAGATTGTGCAGCCAGATGAGGCACTGTACGTGGAAGAGCCCATGAAGCCAGAGGAGACGCTATATGTGGAAGAGACTAGGAAGCCAGATGAGATACAGTTTGCGGAAGAGCCCATGAAGCCAGCAAAGGCCGCAGCCCCAGAGCAGATCCAACATGTGGGAGAGATGGTCACAACGGAGAATTCTAACCCTGAGGCGAGTCTCAGAGCTGGGCCTAGCCCCAGCACAGAGGAGGCCCTGAGCATAGAGGACCTGGAATTGCTAGAGGAGCGTTTCCAGCAGTGTGTCCAAGCTGTGGCCCAGCTGGAAGAGGAGAGGGATCAGCTCATTCATGAGCTTGTGTTGCTCCGGGAACCAGCCCTACAAGAGGTGCAGCAAGTCCATCAGGACATCCTGGCTGCCTATAAACTGCACGCCCAAGCAGAGCTGGAGCGAGATGGGCTGAGGGAGGAGATCCGGCTGGTCAAGCAGAAGCTGTTCAAAGTAACAAAGGAATGTGTGGCCTACCAATACCAGCTGGAGTGCCGCCGGCAGGACGTGGCCCAGTTTGCTGATTTCCGGGAAGTGCTGACTACAAGGGCATCCCAGCTCTCAGAAGAGCTGGCCCAGGCCAGGGATGCTTATCAGAGGCAGAAGGAGCAGTTGCGACAACAACTAGAAGCACCACCTAGCCAGAGGGATGGGCACTTTCTCCAGGAGAGCCGGCAGCTCTCTGCCCAGTTTGAGAACCTCATGGCAGAAAGCCGCCAGGGCCTGGAGGAGGAGTATGAGCCTCAGCTGCTGCGGCTCCTAGAGAGGAAAGAAGCTGGGGCCAAAGCTCTACAGAAAACCCAAGCCGAGATCCAGGAGATGAAGGAAGCTCTGAGGCCCCTGCAAGCCGAGGCTCGGCAGCTCCACCTGCAAAACAGGAACCTGGAGGACCAGTTGACACTTGTGAGGCAAAAACGAGACGAGGAGGTTCAGCAGTACAGGGTAGGCCTGAAAGGAAGTCTGGTCTTTTAGCTTGGGGAAAGAAAAGGTGACCAGATTGAAATGTCTTTGGGACTGAAGGAAACTATTAAATGTAGGAAGAACTTATTCTTTGGGACCATTCACTCACTTCTTTCATTCTTCATTCATTCAGACCTGTGCTACAGGGGTTGAAAATTATCTAGACTATTTTAGTTTACACAGCACTTTCACATCTATTATCTCATTTGATCCTCACATTAATCCTGTAAACAAAGTATTATCATTTTCTATAGATGAGGAAACTGAGGCTCAGTGAGTTGAATTTTTTTTTTTTTTAACATTTTATTGTGGTTTGGGTGAAAGTTTACAGAGCAAATTAGTTTCCCATTCAACAATTTATACCCATTTTATTTCGGACATTAGTTGCAAGCCTGTCAATGTAACAGCACTCTACCCACTTCCTCCCTGAGTTTCCCATTTCCATTCACCCATTTTCCTGCCCCTTCCTGCCATATGAACTTTGTTGTTGGGCAAATGCCGCCCTTTTGGTCTGGTATGGTTGATTGTTCTGAGGAGCCCTTTCCTCACAGGTGTTACTGTTCACTTTATAGGCCTATTGTTTGGCTGAAAGGTGATCTCTGGGAGTGAGTTCATTTCCAGGTTTGAAAGGTCTAAAGGCCATAGTGCTGGGGGTTCCACCAGTCTCTATCAGATCAGTAAGTCTGAACTTTTTTATGAATTTGAATTTTGTTCTACATTTTTCTCCCACCCTGTCCAGAACCTTCTACTATGATACTGATCAGTGAGGTGGGTTATTGGTAGCTGGGTGCCATCTAGTTCTTCTGATCTCAGGCTAGTGGAGGCTGTGGTTCGTGTGGTCCACTAGTCCTTTGGACTAATTGTTTCCTTAAGACTTTGATTTTCTTCAATCTTCTTTGCTCAGACAGGAAGAGACCAATAGTTGTATCTTAGATGGCTACTTGGAGTTGGAATAATTTGAACCTTGGTCTGACCAACCCCAAATATTTCAGTCCTCGTTCCATGGCACCATTTTCCAATTCTGACTGGATCACACTTGGGTTTATATAGAGGAGGGAATGAGGCTAGATAGAATTCAGTCCCTCCTCTCCACCCCACATTCACTTCGAGTCCCATCTATCTGGCTTGAAAGTTTTTCCAGTCTTAAAATTGGAATGAAATCTGTATTCCTTATTCTCCTTATTTGTGCATTTGCCATCATCTTCCTTGTATTCAAGGTATTTCTGATTAAGTGTGAGCCAGTTCTAATCCCTTTTTAGAACACAGTGGGATATAAATACTAAATGAATAAACAATTGCGTCTGCCTTGCCCACAGACTGTGAGCTTTCCGAAGGTAGGGGATATGTTTTATTTCTTTGTGTTATTTTCTGCCACCATGGCTCAGAGTACACATCAGTTAAGTGCTGAACTGAATTTACGCTGCTGGGCGCTTTGAGATGACTATAATGTGGTGCCTTTTTTTTTTGTCATTTGAAACGTGTTCCTTTGGATAAACTTAAAAATCTTATGCCCTCTCAGAGATTCTGATACATCCATAAGGGAACCATGTCCCCTGTTGAAGACGGCTGTATCTGACTTCAGTGAAGATTTTGTTGTAGTTTGTGTTATAATATTGAGTGTTTTCAAACTATGCATACTTGTACTACCCTCACCTACTCCCAAATTGACTTTTTACTGGTTCACAATCTAGTGAAAGGGCATTTATTGATTTAGCATAAATACTACCCTTAACAGCTTATACTCAGGTAGACATCACATTAATAATTGTAACCCAGGGTAGAAGGTAGAGATGCAAGTAAGAGTATTTTTGGAAAATCGGAGGGATTATTTTTAGCCATGGGTTAAATCAGAGAACTCTTCATGGAAGAAGGGGTGGAATTTGAGACAAGTTTTGAAGGCAAGATCTAGACCAGCACTGACCAATACAAATTATAATGAGAGCCACAGATGTAATTTTAAATTTTCTAGTAGCCACATTAAAAAAGTAAAGAGAAACAGGTAAAAGTAATTTTAATATATTTTATTTAAACTAATATCTAAAATACAATTCCTAAATGTAATCAATATTAAAAATTCTTAGCTATTTTATTTTTTTCAACTAGGTTTTTGAAATCTGGTATTTTACATTTACAGCATATTTCTATTTGGACAGCAACATTTCATGTGCTAAATAGCCATATCTTAGTCATCTAGTGCTGCTACAACAGAAATACAAGTGGATGGCTTTAACAAAGAGAAATTTATTTCTTCACTGTAAAGTAGGCTAAAAGTCCAAATTCAGGGCATCAGCTCCAGGGAAAGTCTTTCTCTATCGGCCTTCTCATCAATGTTCCCCCAGACTAGGAGCTTCTCGGCGCAGGGACCCTGGGTCTGAAGGACACGCTCTGCTCCTGGCACTGCTTTCTTGGAGGTGTGAGGTCCCCGTCTCTCTGCTCACTTCTCTCTTTTATATCTCAAGAGATTGCCTCAGGATACAATCCAATCTTGGAGGCTGAGTCCTACCTCACTAACAACTGCCGCCCATCCTCCGTCATTAATATCATAGAGGCAGGATTTAGAACATATAGGAAAATCACACAATACCGGGAATCATGGCCCAGCCAAATTGATACACATGTTTTTTGGGGGACATAATTCAATCCATGACAAGCCACATGTGGCTGTTAGCTACCTATTGGACAGTGCAGATCTAAACATGCGGAGATGCCAGGAACCAGATGGTGCAAAGGCACAGGAGGTATGAGAACAGAGCATGTTCAGGAAATTACTAACTTGGCTGCATGTGAAAAGGGGAAAACTGTAAAGATAGGTTGGGGCAGATCACATTGGGCTTTAATAATGATAGTGGGAATAGAAGAGGAAGGATGCAAGAACAATTGCCGAAAAATAAGCTTGGCAATTGAATGAATGGGGCAGGGAGGTAAGGAGCCAAAAAGGATGCTGAGATTTCAGGTATGGCTAACTAGGATTGTGGTGTCATAAATAGAGAGCTCTCTGGGTTTAGTTTTCTGACACAGTACCAGAAAGTCATAGGGTTATTTTCCCAAACGATTTTCATCAGCATACTGGGTTTTAGATTCCAAGGATCATTGTATGAAACACATTTTTGTAAAAATTTACAGCTCAAGTTAATTTCTCATATAAAAATTTATACACATATTGTTATGTGACCCTAGTTGCAATCCCTATAATGTTACATCACACCCCCCTTTCCATCTTGGGTTTCCTGTTTCCATTCAACCAGCTCCTATCCGTTTCTGCCCTCTCATCCTGCCTCCAGACAGGAGCTGCCCATGTATCTACTTGAACTAAGAAGCATACTCTTCATGAGCATTTTTAGTCCAGTCTAATCTGTTTGAAGAGTTGGCTTCGGGAATGGTCTCAGTTCTGGGTTAACAGAGTCTGAGGGCCATGTCTTTTGGGGCTCCTCTAGTCTCAGACCATTTAGTCTGGTTTTTTTATGTGAATTTGAGCTCTGCACCCCACTTTTCTCCTACTCTGTCAGGGACTCTCTGTTGTGTTCCCTGTCAGGGTAGTCATTGGTGGTAGCCGGGCACCATCAAGTTCGTCTGGTTTCATGCTGATGGAGTCTCTGGTTTGTGTGGCCCTTTTGTCTCTTGGGCTAATATTTTCCTTGTGTCTTTGGTGGTGTTTTTTTTTCTTTTTATTGTACTTTAGGTGAAGGTTTACAGAATAGTTTATCATTAAACAGTCAGTACACATATTGTTTTATGACATTGGTTAACAACCCCAAGACATGTCAACCCTCTCCCTTCTCGACCTTTTTTTTTTTTTTTTTGGTGAAAATATACATAGCCGAAGATACACCATTTTGAAAATTTCTACACGCACAGTTCAGTGACATCGATTACGTTCTTCCAGTTGTGCTGCTATTCTCACTTTAGAAGGTTTACAGAACAAAACAGTTTCTCATTAAACAGTTAGTACACATGTTGCCCTAAGACAATGGTTAACAAGCCCAATACATGTCAACACTGTCCTTACTCAACCTTGGGTTCCCTATCACCAGCTTTCCTGTCCCCTTCTGCCTTCTAGTTCTTGTCCCTGGACTGCTGTGCCTCATTAGTCCCATTTTGTATTATGAGGCAGTCCAATCCCTGGCTGAATGGTGAACCTCGGAAGTGACTTCACCACTGAGCTAAAAGGGTGTCTGAGGGCCATACTCTTGGTGT